CCACAACTGCATAGTGAGACCCTGTCCCTGAAAAAAAAAAAAAAAAAAAACAGACAAAAAATACTGGGAGTAACACTGGAACAAAGTCAAGACTGGTTAGAAGAATGGAGAGAGGTTAAGGGAAAGTCACACACATTTCAGCATTGAAAAGAAATGCCTCAAATACGTTTTATTAGAGCGGTCTTTGAAAAGGTACATGGTACATGGAAACCGCGTGCTCCTAGAACCCTCTCTGACAGCATTGCCCAGCTCCAGCAAAACTCTGCCACGATCCACGCTGCCAACGCCAGAAGCAGGCGAGAGGCAGGGTTTCCAACAGCAACACCTGAAAAGGGCGGGTCCGGAGAAAAGCTAGCTCAGCTTTGGTGAATTTTCCCACCGCGTCTTCGCGTAAGCGCGCTACGGAAAAGAAATCACACCCACAGAACACTGGCAAAGGCTTCGTTGCTCCTTTGTGCTGTCCAAGTGGGCTGGACAAGTGCACCGAGAAAGGGCTGGATGGCCAACAGGTGCTCCAGCTGCTCCACAGGGGTCCGAATCTCAGGCTGGGGTGGCGGGAGGGAGAGAGGGAAGCGAGAAGAGGAGGCCCGCTGCTCACCTGGTTAAGCTCGGTCTCGGCCGCAATCCTCAGCTTCGGGTCTATGGTGCCCTTCAGCGCCTGGATGATCCGGTTGAGGTCCATGTCCCCGGGCGGGGACTCCGGCCCCAGGGCCAGCAGGCCGGGTGGCACCCGGGGTGTCTCCTGGCCCCTTTAGGCTCCGTCCGCCACGGGGAACCACCTCACCCCTACCCCCTGCCGCCGACACCGCCGCCTGCAGCTACTAGCTGCGCCACTCTGACTCCGCGCCCCCTGTCCTCCCTCCTTCCCCCTCACAACTCTCTCCATTCACCCTTTACGACAGCCGGTGGGAGGTGGGAGAAGAGGAAGCGGCGACTCCTTTACGACAGCCTCTTCCCCTTGGCGTGTGTTGCGCAGAGCGGCTCCTGCGGGGGACGCCATGATGCTTTACGGAAAACGCTCTACGTTTGTCTCAGGAGCCGGCATTGCATAGCAGGGCTCCTGTAGGAAGTTGTCATGGTTTTGTAGGAAAGGCGCTCTGATTTGTTCCACCAGCTTAACTCCCGCAGACGGCTGCCTTGATGCCGTAGGGAAACCCTAACCTGTCCACCCACCAGTGTAAGCAAAGTAAGTTAGCTGGCCTCGCATCTACTTACAGATGCTGCAAATTAGGCATATCTAAATGCAGTGACACCATTTGTTCAAGATCTCTGGGCATCACAATTGAGCTGTTTGAAGGCATACTTGCTGGGACCTTGAAATATGCAGCCTACAGAAGAGGGTTCCTCAGTGTATGAGAGCCACCCTTTATCCTGCCATTCACTTTTTGAACATGTTTTTAAAATGTGTTTTCAAACAGAGTACTATAATTTTTAGTATTATGTTATAACAAGATGAAATTCAAAGCAAGTCTGTTTGAAAGAACTCATAATCTAATAGAAAGGCAATTAAATATACATATATAGAAAAACTATGACTAAGAGTGCCAAAAATGTCCTGACTTCCATCGTGAAAGGCAAGAAGGGTTACACTGTTTCCATCCAGGAATGCAATGCATACAAGTATCAGCAAAAATTTCCTCTGGTGAACCCAAAAGAGGGTTCCAAATACACACAGTAAAGCTGGCTGTGAGCAAATGCTGCTGAGTGGTTGTAATCCTCCCAGGAGCATATAATCAAGATATATTAGTTCAATTACCTGGGTTTTAAGAAAAAGATAGGGGGAAAAAAGGCTGGCGGTGGTGGCCCATGCTTTTAAGCCCAGCACTTGGGAGGCAGAGGCAGGCAGATCTCTGTGAGTCCGAGGCCAGCCTGGTCTACAAAGAGAGTTCCAGAACAGCCAAGGCTTCACAAAGAAACCCTGTCTTGAAAAACCAGAAGAAAAGGATACAAAATGAGACCGAATGTGTGCTGTATGACAGACTGCTTCCAGCACTGCCCATTTCAGTCCATCAGAATGAAAACACATTTTCAATTTAAAACGGTGCCTTTCCTATGCCCACCCCTAATTTCCTTTACTTGTGAAATCTTTACTCTAAGAGCCTTTTTCTCTGTGTTTTGATACAAGATCTCTCTTCATAGCCCAGGCTGGTCTCAAACTTGTGGCAATCCTGCTGCTTCAGTGTTTCCAGTGCTGATATTCCAGTCATGAGCCTCACTTCCATGTACTCTTTTCTAATTAAAATCTATTCTTCTGTCTCCCCCTTAATAACTCTACACCTGTTCTCCAACTCACTTACCCCATAGTTCTTGAACTATTTATTCCAGACTACACATCCTTTTCTGATTTTTTGTCTCCCAATTCAACTACTCAAGACTGCCTTTGAGCTACTGTGCTGACACCACTATGTGTCTGAAGGAAAGAACACCTGTTTGTAGTGCTGCTTTTTCTTCACATCCAGTATTCAGTCCTGTCCCTTCTCTTTAACCAGCACTACCTTTCATTCCTCAGTAGCTGTTCTGGACCATATTCACAGGTACCCTACTCCATCTTACAGAGCCCTACAAAAATAAGGAAAGCCCCTGGCAGCAGTATTCACCCACCCCCAAATTCACCTCTGCGTACCTCTGCACCTCCTTCCCTACATTCTGAATAGAACCTCTCCCATATTCTCCAGAGCCTGGCTCCATTTTGCATATTTTTTCATTAAAATAAATGGGGGGGGGGGGCTGAAGAGTTGACTCAGCAGTTAGGGGCACTTGCTTATGGAGAAGACCCAGGATTGGTTCTCAGCCCCCACAAGTTGGCTCACAACCATCCATGATACAGGTTCCAGAGAATTCAATGCCCTCTTCTGACCTCTTCAGGCACCAGGCACGCACATGGTGCAGTTGTACATGCAAGCAAAACACTAAGATGTGTAAAATAAATACAAAAATATTTTTAACATAAAAATAAAATAAATCTTGGGTATTTATTACACATTCTTTGCTGACAATTTGTAAGATTTTTCCCCTAGATATCCAGCCTCTTTCTCCCCACTAACTAAAGTTCACCCTAAAACAGTCTTTCTAGCTGGGTAGAAGGCTGGGGTGAAAGGATCACAAGCCTGGACAACATAGCTAGATCGCATCTCAAAAAATTTTAAAAAGGGTGGGGCTTAAAAACTTAAGATTTTGTTGCAAAGAATGCTCTTCATTTGTTATTTCTCCTCTTTCTTTCCATTCATGCTGCAAGCAGGTGTACCCAAGCTTCTCTGACCTTGTTTCTCTTGAAGCCGACAAGTAAAGATCAGCACTGGTCCCTTCAGAGACCAAATGCAGTAGACTTTTTTTTTTTTTCAGAGCTGAGGACTGAACACAAGGCCTTGCACTTACTAGGCAAGCGCTCTACCACTGAGCTAAATCCCCAACCCCGACTTTTTTTTTTTTAATTTCTCATATTAAATTGTCTCCCTCTGTTTGGAGCTGTACTTTATTCTGTTTATTAATTTTTTTATTATTTCACATGTGTGTTTTGCCTGGATGTATGTCTATGCACACAGTGCCCAAAGAAGTCAGAAGAAAATGTCAGTTCCTCTGTGTGGCAGGATTTTTGATCACATTGTAAACCTTGAGATTGCATTATTTACTGTAAAACCTGTGTAGACATATTTTTCTTTGGGCTGCCAGCTCACAAAAAATGACACAGAAACTTATTAATTATGAAAGCTTGGCCTATAGCTTGGGCTTGTCCACTAGCTCTTATAACTTAAGCACAGCTAGCTCAGTAGGTAGAGTTTGAGACTCTCTCAGGGTCATTGGTTCAAGCCCCAGGTTAGGCACTATATGTAGTGGGACTGTCAGCTCCCTGGTAATGACACACAGATTTATGATTAATTATGAAAGCTTGGCTCATAGTTTGGGCTTGTTTCTAACTAGCTCTTATAACTTAAATTAACCCATTTATATTAATTTACTTTTTGCCTTATGTCTTCATTACCTCATCTACACAGTGCCCATCCTGCTTACTCTGTGTCTCCTGGAGTCTCTGCCTTCTTTTTTTTTATATATATATATATATTTTATTTTACAATACCATTCAGTTCTACATATCAGCCATGGGTCCCCCTATTCTCTCCCCTCCCACCCCCTCCCCTTACCCCCAGCCTACCCCCCATCCCCACCTCCTCCAGGACAAGTCCTCCCCCACCCAGGACTGCGATCAACCTGGTAGACTCAGTCCAGGCAGGTCCAGTCCCTTCCTCCCAGACTGAGCCAAGTGTCCCTGCATAAGCTCCAGGTTTCAAACAGCCAACTCATGCAATGAGCACAGGACTTGGTCCCACTGGCTAGTTGCCTCCCAAACTGATCAAGCCAATCAACTGTCTCACCTATTCAGAGCACCTGATCAAGCTGGGGGCCCCTCCACCTTTGGTTCATAGTTCATGTGTTTCCATTCATTTGGCTATTTTTTTTTCAAGAATTGAGTAAAACTGAAATTTATTATAAGCCACAGTCGTCGTAGGGACCTCCATGCTATATATATATAGCCTCTATGGTTCTATGGGTTGTGGTCTGATTGTTCTTTATTTTATATCTAGAATCCACCTATGAGTGAGTACATACCATGACTGTCTTTCTGGGTTTGGGTTACCTCACTCAGGATGATTTTTTCTAGTTCCATCCATATGCCTGCAAATTTCATGCTTTCATTGTTTTTCTCTGCTAAGTAGTACTCCATTGTGTATATGTACCACATTTTTTTCATCCATTCTTCCATTGATGGGCATCTAGGTTGTTTCTAGGTTCTGGCTATTACAAATAGTGCTGCTATGAACATAGCTGAGCATGTATCTTTATGGTATGAATCAGCATTCCTTGGGTATATGCCCAAGAGTGGGATGGCTGGGTCTTGAGGTAGTTTGATTCCTAATTTTCTGAGAAACCGCCATATTGATTTCCACAGTGGTTGTACAAGCTTGCATTCCCACCAACAGTGGAGGAGTGTTCCCTTTGCTCCACATCCTCTCCAACATTGGTTGTCATTGGTGTTTTTGATCGTAGCCATTCTAACGGGTGTAAGGTGGTATCTCAGAGTCGTTTTGATTTGCATTTCTCTGATGATTAAGGATGTTGAGCATTTCTTTAAATGTCTTTCAGCCATTTGTAGTTCTTGTTTTGTGAATTCTCTGTTTAGCTCTTTAGCCCATTTTTTAATTGGACTGTTCAGTACTTTGATGTCTAGTTTCTTGAGTTCTTTATATATTGTGGAGATCAATCCTCTGTCAGATGTGGGGTTGGTGAAGATCTTTTCCCATTCTGTTTCTGCCTTCTTCTTACTAGCAGTCTCTCTGTTCCAAAAATCCAGCCTAGGTACTGGCCATTTAGTTTTTTATTAAACCAATCAAAATGACACATCCTCACAGTATACAAAATGATTATTCCACAACAGTGGAGAAGGGAAGGAGTTTTTTCAGGGATATAGATTGAGGAGAAAGGTCAGCTGTGTCCTTTCTCTGCCTCTCTCTGAGCTAGCAGACTTTCACCCCAGCATCTGGCTCCCAAATATTTGTTGGTAAAATCAAACAATTGAGATTATTAAAAAAAAAAAACATTTGGCACTCCAACATGTAACATGACCACACAGACAGAGAAATCATGCCAGCTGCAGACAAACCACGGAGCTATCAGATTTGGTAAGACACCTGGAAAGTCCTCAAGGAGGGAGTTAAATAATACTAAAAGGAAACCTTTCCCATGTTAAGGATTAGAAATACAATGCAGGGAGTTAGGATACTGTATAATGCTACTTTAGATGGCTTAAAAATAGAAGCAGAAAATGTAAAGATAAATGACTTAACTAAGATTGACATAAGGATTATAATTACTATCA